CCCCAAAACCCCAAAACCCCAAAACCCCAAAACCCCAAAACCCCAAATAGTATAAAAGGCATTGAAATATAGCTTCAGGTATATAAAATATATTAAATATGAATCCCAATTTTTTGGAAAAAGAAGACTATAGTAGCCAAACCATGTCTTTCACAGGACTTGAGAACCTGGGCGCTATGCCAAAGCCTTTATCTAAAAGCAGCAAGCCAGATCTGAAAAGACTCAAGCTGAATCTGTCTAAGACTAAAAAGTGGAAGAGTGGCCACTTAAAGTTAAAAGTCAAGATTGAAGACAACTATGATATTATCAAACCCTTAGGGGCTGGAACTTATGCCTCTGTCAGTCTCGCTACTGACCTGACTAATGAAAAGAAGGTTGCTATTAAGATCTCTAGGAAGGAGAATTCCTGTGAGAAGTTAGCTAGCGAGTACAAAATCCTCTCAGAACTTGACCATGAGTGCATTATTAAACCAATTAGGTTCATAAATAATGAGATGAAAAATGAAGCATTTCTGGTTTTAGAGTACTTTGAAGGTACAGATATTAAAGAGTTTGTTCAGAAAAATGGACCACTCTCTAATGATGGCTGTAAGAGAGTAATTCAGCAGCTCTCCTCTTGTGTCAGTTATTTACATAGCAAGGGTATAGCCCATCGAGATATAAAACCGGAGAATGTTCTAATTGACGAAGAACTTAATATCAAACTTATTGATTTCAATATTTCTAAAAAGATGAAATCAGGTAGTGATGACGGAGAATGCAAGTTCAGATCTATCTTTTACACCCAAATTTCTTCCCCACTATATGCTGCACCAGAAATTAAGGAAAGATGTCTATATACTGAGAGTGTCGACATCTGGGGAATAGGGATCATCATGTTCACTTGTTTTTATGGATGTCCAACTTCAAAGAGCGATAGCGGCAAGGCCCTAAACCAAATTTCATTATCTGATATAATTGAGTCTGAATCATCTGTATGCAAAGAGGCTCAAGTCTTGCTACTGAAATTGTTATGCAAGGACCCACAGCTTAGACTCTCAGCTGAGGAAATCCTAGCTGACGATTTTCTAAACTAAACTTTCTTTTTAAATAACACGTTAAGTTTACTACCATAATTTTGTCATTTAACTTTGGAGTGGAGCTTTTGTATAGTTCAGTTTTTCCAGAATTCTTTCCCTATTATTTAACCTAAGGAATGATTTCATGGCTGTAGCATTTCATAAGCGTGTTTATGATAAAGTCTAGCATGGGAGATGGCATACGGCATAGGCTATAAAAAGTCAAATTCAGGCTGTTCAGGATTTCAAATTATCATTTTTGTAATGTTATTAAACTTAGATTCATGAATCGATGTATCTTCCCAAAAATTTGAACATCTTTAGTAGTCAAAGCAACTGATACATTCATTAACTTAGCTGGAAAACAAATCAGTAGCGTTTTAGAATAGCCTATCTGAGTTACTGAACTTATTTATGAACAATGGAGGTCTGCAGCTCTAGGGAAATTTTTTCTTCATAAATATGTCCTGAAAGATATGCAAGGAAAATAATTGTATGGAAAGAGGCCAATAAAATAGCCAAGTAAGAGAAATAGAGTGTGCCTCTATGTGTTTGAGATGTATATCTCTCATTTGACTCTAATGCTTAGGTCTTGATAAGCGAATTTGTTTGTCTACTGACAACTTAGATTCTTTACTCCATTAATAGATCTGCCTTTACAATGATTTTTGTTGATCTCATAGATCCTCTAGCTAGGCTATATTGCTTTGGTGATTAATTCAGGAGAAATTGTGAAATTTCAAAGGTTTAGATAAATACTAGTAATTCATGCCATTCGAAAGCAAAATTTAGGAATACTGAATATTTTTAGTAAACTAAGGTTAGAGGCAGTGTAGACTCTTAAGGAGCAAAGAAGTCATTTGTATGCACTTCTGCTTTGCTTCTAGACCTTTAGAAAAGCGTATGAAAATGTGCAAACTGATTTCACCAAATCGTGATTTTTAGAAATATTATTAATAATGGTAAAACGATTTTTACAAAAATCGTCTTTTCTCTCCTGAATAGAATGGAGCAGACTCTCCTCATCTTCTCTCTTGCTTTTTAATGAAGAGGCTTAATAGATGTAATCTCAAATAATTGTTTCAGAATTCAGCCTAGCTGGATTTACCTAATAATAAACAGCATAATAATACCCCAACCGACATTTTAGTACCTTCTAAATACCTCTCATAATCAGTAACTGAGCTTCACTAGGCATCCATCTACCCTCAGTAAGTATTCTTAACCAAGGTCGTTCCAGATCTCGAATTATTACAAGTCATTAAATCTAACAACTTGAAGAGTTCTCATAGCCATTAAATAAATGAATAGTCTCCTAAACTAAGTAAAGATCGTTCCTTCCCCAGATAACTCGTTCAGGTATTACTAAACCAGGAAGTAGCGGGGTTTTCTCCAAACATGGTAATTTCCAAAGTCTTAAAACCTTCAAACGTGGCTAAACCCTGATAAAGCATGGAGCCCTAGAGATTACGGGAGTTGTTCTAAGGTTGCTAATTCAGCTAAATGGGAGCGTATTGGTCTGAAACGGTAGGGAAATGGATGGTGGAGTGATGTAGGGTTTTAGGAGTATTGGTATGTATAGGTAGGCGGGAAGAACTTTTGTTCAGATGGATTTTTGTTGCACAATCCTGGTTTATTATTTTGGGGTTTTGGGGTTTTGGGGTTTTGGGGTTTTGGGG